TAAAGTTCCGTCTTCAAAGCAAAATGGACAAGTAGGTGGAATCTGTGCATTCATTTTGTGCAAAGTACTAGGAGATGCAAGGCAATTATGTAGCAATCTCCATGCGATATCACCGTCTTGTTTGAGGGACGGATATCGGTAGGGGATCGGTATGAACATATGCAGCAGCAAATCAGCCTTTCACACTCATATGTAATCTAGCGGAGAAGACGACTAAGAGTAAGGAAACGTTCGCAAAAACCCAGATACGGGCAGATTCAGCCAACTCCCTCATAATATGCATCGGTATGAAGAACGACAGCAGCAAAACAGCCTTTCACAGCTCTATCCCATTATGCGGAAAAAACGACCCAGACTCAGGAAACGTTCGCCAAAAGGCATATACGTGGGGATTCCGGCAACTGTCAAAATATTGGTCGGAATGGACAATGGCAGCAGCAAATCAGACTTTCACACTCATATCGCATTATGCGGAAAAACGACCCAGATTCAGGAAACGTTCGCAAATACGTGCAGATTCCGCCAAGTCTGTCAAAATATGGGTCGGAATAGACAATTGCAGCAGCAAATCAGCCGTTCACACTCATATCTAATCCAGCGGAGAAGACGACTAAGAGTAAGGAAACGTTCGGAAAAACGCAGATACGGGCAGATTCCGCCAACTCTCTCAAAATAAGAATCGGTATGAACATATGCAGCAGAAAATCAGCGTTTCACACTCATATCTCATCCCGCGGAGAAGACGACTAAGACTAAGGAAACGCACGCCAAAACGAAGATACGGGCAGGTTCCGCCAACTGCCAAAATATTGGTCGGAATGGACAATGGCAGCAGCAAATCTGGCTTTCACAGCTGGATCGCATTATGCGGAAAAACGACCCAGATTCAGGAAACGCACGCCAAAACGCAGATAGTTGGAGATTCCGCCAACTCTGTCAAAACATGGGTCGGAATGGACAATGACAGCAGCAAATCAGCCTTTCACACTCATATCTAATCCAGCGGAGAAGACGACTAATAGTAAGGAAACGTTCGCCAAAACGCGGATACGTGCAGATTCCGACCAATCTGTCAAAATATTGGCGGAATAGACAATGGCAGCAGCAAATCTGCCTTTCACTGCTAGATCGCATTATGCGGGAAAAAAAACCCAGATTCAGGAAACGTTCCCCAAAACGAAGATACGGGCAGATTCCGCCAACTCCCTCATTAAATGCATCGGTATGAACATATGCAGCAGCAAATCAGCCTTTCACACTCATATCTAATCCAGCGGAAAAGACGACTAAGAGTAAGGAAAAGTTCGCCAAAACGCAGATACGTGCAGATTCCGCCAACTCTGTCAAATATGGGGCGGAATAGACAATGGAAGCAGCAAATCTGCCTTTCACACTCATATCGCATTATGCGGAAAAAACTGCCAAAACGCAGATACGGGCAGATTCCGCCAACTCTCTCAAAATATGAAGCGGAATGAACATATGCAGCAGCAAATCAGCCTTTCACACTCATATCTAATCCAGCGGAGAAGACGACTAAGAGTAAGGAAACGTTCGGCAAAACGCAGATACGTGCAGGTTCCGCCAACTCCCTCAAAATATTCATCGGCATGAAGAACGACAGCAGAAAAGCATCCTTTCATATCTCGATCGCATTATGCGGAAAAAACGACCCAGATTCAGGAAACGGTCGCGAAAACGTAGATACGTCCAGATTCCGGTAACTCTGTCAAATATGCGGCGGAATAGACAATGGAAGCAGCAAATCTGCCTTTCACACTAATATCGCATTATGCGGAAAAAACCACGAAGATTCAGGAAACGTTCGCCAAAACGAAGATACGGGCAGATTCCGCCAACTCCCTCATAATATGAAGCGGAATGAACATATGCAGCAGCAAATCAGCCTTTCACACTCATATCTAATCCAGCGGAGAAGACGACTAAGAGAAAGGAAACGTTCGGCAAAACGCAGATACGTGGAGATTCCGGCAACTGTCAAAATATTGGTCGGAATAGACATATGCAGCAATAAATCAGCCTTGCACACTCATATCTCATCCCGCGAAGAAGACGACTAAGACTAAGGAAACGCATGCCAAAACGCAGATACGTGGAGATTCCGGCAACTCTGTCAAAATATGGGTCGGAATGGACAATGACAGCAGCAAATCAGCCTTTCACTGCTAGATCGCATTATGTGGAAAAAAGACCCAGATTCAGGAAACGCACGCCAAAACGAAGATACGGGCAGGTTCCGCCAACTCTCTCAAAATATTGGTCGGAATGGACAATGGCAGCAGCAAATCTGGCTTTCACATTCATATGGCATCCCGCGGTGAAGGCAACTAAGACTAAGCGCGATATCTTCCAATGAGAACGGCATGAATTTGACGTTTTTGTGACCTATGGTTGGGAAGATACAAATTTTCGAAGAGATGCATGTAAATCGTGATCTTTGACCTCAAATCATGGCCCCCGGCGTGACCTCATTGTCAGAAATCGGTTCAAAGGCCCTTTCTTGATGTCCCTTATAAGAATTATAAAGAGGAATTTCGATCCAGTTGGGTTCGATTTTCATCTTCCCATAGCACCTTAAACCACGTTCATCCCCTTGTGAATCATAACTGCATGGAGAATCGCGAGTGCGATTCCTTCCTTGAAAGTGTTCCTTTCGGTCTGTCACCATGGGTGGAACGTTTCTTATATTAAGAGGTAAGAAAACGGACGCATGGTCATCTATGATACATAGACAGAGGGAAAAGCCCGAAATCGAAGCATCGTGATTCCCTGTAAGTGACACTTTCGGGCCATCCTGATGAGTGGGACAATTTTTATTCTCATGTGATTCAACATTGCAGGAAGAAAATCGATATATTATCGTTGTGGGATTGTTTTCTAGAAAGAAGTGCTATTGGTCCATCAGGATGGGTTGGATACATATTTCTTTTCACAAAAGAGCAAATGAAACCACGTCCATTTCATGTGGATTCATAATGGCAGTGAGAAAAGCGAGAAACTGACGCAATTGGAAGATCTGGTGAAAAAACGACGTCGTATGGCATATAAGAAATACAGTGTGTTCCCAAAGTTACTTCCTTATTACAAATGGCCCTTTCTCTATAGTGGAACAGTGTAGATACGTCATATTCAGGGTTGAGGATGTAATTCCAATAGGATTCTTGATAGTGAAGTTTTAAAAAAATTTGGAACCACCAACCACTAGACCTCTAACCACTCGAACCACTATCATCATGGACGGCATCAGACTTGTAGCCACCTCTTGCTTCACATTCTCTTCCATCCTTGTAATGACGTGGTAGTAGATAGAAAAACCGATTCGGTTGACGAAAGCGACACAATCTACCCCTGCACGGATTCCTTGGGTTCCAAGAAGTTCGCAGGACGGCCACTGTAAACTTTTTTGAATTTCAGGAAATCCCACAGCCGCGTCTGAAAGTTTAAGATCCAGTAACCTTTGCAGCCAGGCCTATGGCAAGACTTTGCCGATGACACGGTCCTGGGAGATACGATGGAGAAGAGACTTCACATCTCTCCTAACGTGTGGAGGGGCGCCGTCCTGTGATTGTCTTGTTCACAAAACTTCTCTCCCGAAGCGTCTTAATGACGTACGTTTCTAAGAGGGTTAGGTAACGTTCAGCTCTCACAGTTACGGTATGGTAACCGTTTGGAGTAATCTTCTCCAGGAAATAGGGGCCAATGATCTGGCTACTGGTGAATCCAGCCAAAACGATTATCTTCACATCCTCCAGTGGTTGCTCCTGGAAGACGTTGGGTGCCCAGACGAGAAAATTATGGGCATTGACCTGGCCGTGCAGATGGAAGTGTTCCTCGTCTAACCACAGGATGTTCTCAACCACTGGTCCTCGGCTTTCACTCGTGCAAGGAACTGCTGTGTGAATACCATCCGAGCGTCGCAGTCCCATGGTTTCAATACACGCACCCTCCGTATTCTGTACTTGTACATTCTCAAGGTATTGCGTAGCATCTGGAAGATGTCGATTTCAGTATCCCTGTCTGTCTGGCAACACATTCTCAGTGGGGGACGTCTTGTGCATGATCTCATCACCTCCACTGCCGTCGAGGGCTGACCGGTGCGCGGAGCGACCGCAAAACTACACGTCCTTTCGTACCTCCGGATGAGAGGTAAGTATGCGTTACTGGAAATGGGTTCATTGGTTCATGGCGTAGATGGTGAGCACATCAGTATTCCCTCAGAACCAGAAGGAACCCCCTACTCCCTTGGTTGGTAAAAATACCGCCGAACAAGTTCAATTCGAGCCTGTAAACATTGCCTGTTACTAGCTATTGTCATGATAGAAATAGGGAGCTGGACGTTTGTCGCCGCTTTCATCCGGAGCGACGGTGGCGCCGTGTCTCTGGCCGGTATAGTGCCGTCCTGGTGGTGATAAGCGGAACCCTTTTTGGAAAATTTATCGAAACTATGTTTCCATAAATCCTATTGCCAGTACATCACATACGCCGTATATGAAGTTTCAAGGCCTCTCCATAATGAAGACAGGGCCTTTCAAACGGTGTAGTAACTTCACCGGCCGACCGGACTTTGATTTTCATTCACATATAGGTTGCAAATGTGAATCACATCCTTCTCGAGCTCGTGATTCCCACACAGTGAAGATGGGAAACTAGATAAATCACAATAGACTAGGCAATAATATATGCAAGATCTTCTCATGACAGTCACGCAAGTAAAACTAGTTCGGTCGTCAACCTTCAACAATGGTTGTTTTGACCGAGTCGTTAAGCATTTTCATGCAAGCCTCAGGAATTCCGATTGATGTGATATACAGTAGAAACTCGTGCTGCATTCATTACTAATAGATGCAATCGTTCAAAAAGGATTCATTTCAAAAGACAACACCTTAAGGCGTCGCTGTCCCTTATGGCAGGTCTTCCTGCAACCTTCGCAGGTCGATGATATCGTTTCAATGTGGATGGCAGGCATGCCTGTCCTCATCCTCCCTCCACTGCCAAAATTCACGGAATATGCAGAAATGGGACTGTGCTGTGTTGCATGTTCTTGCTTGCACTTGTACAACCTGTTTCCCTCAGCCCATTCACACTCTAATTCAGGTTAGCATGAGGATCATGATTCTTTGTCCAAATGCTATAACGCTTCCTTTAGAAAAACAAGAAAAAAAAGATGTTCAATATCAAGCCACGCAGATTCCAAAAATACAGTGTCAGAATTGATAGAGTTCAACATTTATGGATATTAACTTTCAATGGAATCATCTTTTACTATGTACAGGGTGGGCAAAAAGTCTGTTTACATTAAATTGAATTTCATGCACTGTTGATATGAAAAAAAAAGTGCCTTAGGACCTGGCACAAAATTCAGTTTTGCTGACAAGATGGTGCACACAGATCCAGTGGACTAACATGATTTAATATGATTTTTTTGCTGTACTAAATGTTTATTAAGTGTAGAGGGATTTTTGGCCTACCCTGAACAGAGTGACCCATTTTGAGATTTTACTAATGAATGGCCATGTAAAACACAAACCAATGGATGGAAGAAACTGAAACTTGGCATCTAAACTACTGACAGCATATGCTTCTCAAAGGCTTTCTCAGAGAAACGAGTGATCAATCGCTGAGACATTTGTGCCTCATTTAAACTGTGTCCTTTTGTGGCAAGTCTACCATATATGGAAACTCTCTCTTCCCATCAATAATAAAACTAGCTTCATCCTACACAAACATCTGCAAGAAATTAACTTCACTTTCTGATGCTTGTTTCTTGCATTCTGAGAAGCCCATGCTGCCAGTAGCTTGCATGCCAAGTATCAGCTTCTTCCATCCATTTATCTGTGTTGTTCATTGCAATTCATTAGTAAAATCTCAAAATGGGAGACCCTCTAAAAAACTGTATCTTTGAAAACAGGCTGGATGTACTTGGCCAGGTGGGAACTATTATCACCCTATATGATTCTGCATGCAGCTGGAACACTCAAGCAAAATATGTATCGGCAAAGAAGGAACCAAAACTCACTCAAGGCATCATCCTCGATGAAGAGCTCCACCCGAGACATCATTCTTCACGAGGGATGGAAGACCCAGACAGGATTCTTAGGGCAATGATGCTCTCCATCTTGGAACTGCAAAGCCACATTCTTGAGACTTGGAGATCACACTCGAGGTCACCCACTGCAAAGGACATCCAAGAGCAATCTTCTTTCAGAGCCTGTGCTTCTACAGTTTCAATCTGCTGGATAATTTGCTCCAGGTCCATGGATGGGGAAATCCACCTCCCCTTCAACTATCAAATCCATGAAGAACTTAGGAGCTGGATTTGGGAAAGTATGCAAAGAGGTTGTGACTACTGCAGGCTGATGGCTGCAACACCCTCAAAATCTACTAATGAGAACCAACTTGTGTCCATCCAACTATTGTGACAAATGGGTGACAGATTTGTTTAATTTTAAACTGATTAGTTTTCATAGTGGGAATCTATACAAATAAGTTTATCTCAGTCAAACTGATTCCCATAGGAAGGCATTGTGAGATCCAATTACGAGGGATATCCAGAAAAAAAGGTTACAAGTGCCCTGGAGGGTGCAGGGAATTTTTTTTTTCGNTTACTAACATCACAGTCAACTGTAATACAAAGTTTTAAATAACTCTTACCTGTGCCAGCATTGTTTTGCTCATTATTTAGTTGTGATGTGAAGTCTTATCAGGTGGTTTCAGCTGTAGCAACAGATTCAGTGCATGTCACCTTTTATTATCAACTTAGCTTAAACAGATTCAGTGCATGTCACCTTTTATCATCAACTTAGCTTATTATGGTTATATTGATACTGTAAATGTCATTTTCATGCAAAGAGATATTATGATATCCACATACAAAACTAATTCATGACATCCGCTGGATTTGTGTTAATTCCCTCAGTAAGACTGGAATTCATTATATTTCAAGGTTAAAATTTAGTTCCAGGACAGGTGGCAACTGCATTCACAATACTTCTAATTAGTTTATGATCCAGATTCAGCAGCTCTCTTTTGTCAACAACCTATTAAATCTGTTGCTACAGCTGAAACCACCTGATAAGACTTCACATCACAACTAAATAATGAGCAAAACAATGATGGCACAGGTAAGAGTTATTTAAAATTTTGTATTTCAATTGACTGTGATGTGAGTAAACTCTCAGAAGTTCATGATTTCAGATGATGACACCCTTCACAGAAGGTACAGAGGAAACAATTTTTCCAGAAAAACACTCAAGTGCACATCACAAAACGCATAAGTCTATGGACACCTCTTAGCATTTATGGAAAGATTTCAGGCATTCTTTGATGTGCTCTCAGGTGTTTCTGGAAGCCAAAACTGTTTACAGCAAATGTCTTAAAGGGAAATTTCTCATAGTTCACTTATATTTCAATAATGCATTTGTAGCACATGGCTATTTCTTTTTAGAACATTTGTTTTCCAGAGATGGAGAGATTCAGAGACTCCAATGACAACGAGGAAGAGCATGGTACCACGCCTCTACCAGTCAAAGGAAGACATCAGAAACAAAAGCAGATGCCAGAGAAAGAGAAGAGAAACACCAAGGCCAAGAAGCATCAGGCTGATAAGCAGAATGCAGGAGGAGAAAGCTGGCCCCAATGAAGAAGGTGAAGAATCTCAAGAACTGTGAATAGTCCTGAAAAATTAAAAGCACTGGGAACATTTCTCTAGGTGAAAAACAGACACTATTTTTGAAAATTTCCAAACTTTCTCATAAGGAAATGTAACTCTTCCAAGGAAAACAGATTGGTGCAAAACAGAGAGGAGAGCAACTTGTTTGGAAGTGTCAAGGAAGAGTTTTGCCTTCATGTACTTACAGATTGTTTGCGATCTAAAGATTCAAGTAGGAATGAAGGTCTTCTTGGGGAACCCTGCAACAAGCCAAAGGTCAGCATACACAGCACACAATGACGGGAATCTTGTAGCAAATATTCCTGGAATAGATGGGTGAAGACAATTTTTCAAAGTATCCAGGGTTTCAAATGAGCAGAAACAGATGGTGAGGGACCACATCGATTCAGTCCATGTTGATGCCATGTTGACCATTGCCAAAGAAAAACTTTGAACAAGAGCTGAACCAGCAAAAAAAACCATGACGTGTACTGTGATGGTTGTGAGAGCAGGAATTGTTCCAATAAAGCTGTAAATATATGGCCACATATTCAATGAAAAGTTCAACCTTGACTTTCTGAAGCTCAAAGCTGATGTCTCTGAGAAGAGTTCAAGACAGAAAAGGATTTCCATTGTGGGCTCAAACAGAAGTGTGATAATCACTTTTATGAGGAGGCCAAGCAGAAAAACAATAAAGAGACAAGTTAAACTTGCATAACATAACTGGCTTATGCTTCAGCAAAAAAGAAAGGACATCGTGCCACATGGACTGAGGCAACAATGGGAAAAGTGGAAATGACGTCACTAGTGTTGTCATTCGGAAACTTAAAGAAGCTTTCAGGGAATTTCCCGACATGATGCATCTTAGAACATGGAGTAACAGGTGTTTNAAAGTGGAAATGACGTCACTAGTGTTGTCATTCGGAAACTTAAAGAAGCTTTCAGGGAATTTCCCGACATGATGCATCTTAGAACATGGAGTAACAGGTGTTTCCCTCATCCTAAAAAGATAACCATAAAAGTGTAGAGCCCTGGCCATTCATGCATTCGAGAAGGAAACGGCATACAAGCGGTCATTCGTGAGTGGAGAAGGTGCTGAGAATCTCTGAGTTCTGGTCTGTCTCCTTTTTCCATGCACTTCTTGCTGTACAAAAGAAATAACCACATTAATATAACTCAGATTACCTATACTGACCACAAAGACAATAAGTCCATTGGCAAAAATCTCTATTGCAATGTTATTCCATATAATCAAGTGTGCAACCCACAACTCGCCCATGACTACCCATTTGAAGTGGGTGTAAGACCTCTTGCCACGGTGATGTCATTCATGAGGGAAGGTGCGTGTCTGCTCGACCCGAACGACCAGCCGGATATTTGTGACGCACTTCACGGGGAAGTCTCAGCATGGAGGAGAAACAGGACCACAAAATTATGCTGAAATGGATGCCTGAAGTTGAAAATATCTGTAAAAATGACTTGCTGAATGAATTGTGAAATTGGAATCTTGAAATAAAACATATTCATTGATGGATGATCTCCCTATCAAACAAATGCAAGGAGATTAAATGAATTTTGGGTCAGTTTTTGTTAAACACTTTTGGGAAATGGTGTTGGAGACATATATCACAGCAGTGACGTTAGCTATGAGACTGCTGTTTACTAGTCATAAAAAAGTAACTTCATTTCATTGAGATATTGATTTTGGGGCTTCCCCCAGCAATTTTCAAGCCATCAGCCATGATCCCAGTTAAATTTTTAAAAAAACATAGATACTGGTTGATGGTTAATAGCTAGAGAGAAATGTAGGCAAAGGGAGTAATTTTATTACACCAAGATGTAGGGTGGAAGGAAGCACACAGACAAGATTAAGGAAGTGCAAACCTATAGAATGAAAAAAAAATTCCTCCTTACAACTCCAATTAAAGCAAAAATCACTCCCATTTTAGTAGGCCTCTTCATTACGACAACAGATGTTTCCAGTAGCCTGAGGCAAAACAAACTAGAGGCCCCATTGAGCTCACTCTATGGATGGAGTCTGGCTGGATGGGTCCTTTTGGGATCTTGGGATTGGGTATTATCAGAGGCCAACTTGGGACCCCTCAAGACACAAGGCTCTGGGAAGATTGTCCCAAATCCACCCCTGGGCAGGCCTGATGACAGGGTCTTACCAAAGAATGATGTTGAGAAAGAGAAAATCTACCCTTCATGTTGAAGCACTTATAGCAGAATTTCCACCTCCCATTCATGGTTTGTATTGTGTACTGCATAAATCCCTTCAGTAGATAACATAGTATTATTTTCCCTTCGTCTTTTGATTCAAAACTCTAGTTTAAAGGTAACCATCACGTTTAAGTCAATCCTAGAGAAAGGTATCTGCATCTGAGAATATGTAAACTGCAGATTCCCCAATTGCCCATTGATCTATAAGGTGTTTGGAAAGTAACTCCCTATTTTATAATTGCAATAACTTTTTCACTTTTTGGACAGGAACCCTGGTATTTGTGCCAAAAGAACAAGAATTCAATGGGGTTTTATGATTTCATTGATTTGCTTGTTTGCACTGATAGATTTGATTTTGACACCATGGGGGATCAACACCAATATTAGCACCCATGATGGCTAGAGACTGAAAGCTATGTAGATATGAACCAAGACTCCAAACACACCATACTCGATTAGCAAGGACAGTGCATTTATGTCACACAGGACTAGGCAGCACTTCTCTTCTTTTGGCAAATTTGCACAACTATTATGTCAAGTATATTGGCACATGGGGTTGTCCTCATGAGCTTACTGTTGTCTGAGCAAGTGCTTAATGGAAGTTTCCTAGCAGATGATGGTCATCTATGAATATGAATTTTTTTGCATGTAACTCACATGAGACTTAACTGCCATGCACAATCCAGCCCTGAAGATAACATGAAGAGGCATTCATTAGGAATCAACAGTTTGAAGCACAATGCCCCCTGACTGGAGTCCCTGGCTCACCTCATATTCATTTTCCTCAAACTATGAACAATTGGGTGGTAGTGAGACCTACCTATTTTTTTATATGGGGATATGAGATGTCAACACAAATTATTTTAAACTGAGAAAAACTCATGCAAAATGCCAGACAAAGAGGATGGTAAAACAGACCTTCACAGATACAAAACTGAATAAAGGCAGTCATGAAGGCAATACTGCAAGTGATACTTTGTCTTTTCAGCTCCATCTCCCCCCTACTTCTCCCATGCCCACTTTAGACGGGGAAGAGGTGCCCGTCGTATTTCCAATGGCAGTTAAGCCCCAGCATCAAGGAGCCAGTCTGTGAAAGAAATGCACAGTTATTATTAAAAATTACACATGATGACAATGTGAGAGAAAGTAAGAAAACAGGTACTTGAATGCCACTTAAGTCCTGGAACAAAACTGTTTATGTCACATGAAAATAGCCCACATGAAAATTTCATATAAGACCATATATGAAACATGACACAAGTTTGACACAAGTCACATAAAATATAAGAAGGAAAATATATGACCCCATGCATTTTCATATATTGGCTCATACAAATGCACCATATACTGTCCATATATGCCATGTTATATCTATGTATGGTGAGATTACCTGAAACATGCCTGTTTCCCTGGCAATCAAAAAAAACCTTACGACCAGCGGCACGCAATATACGACTTTCTTTTGTCGCGTAGCAATGATGGAAACCTGAAGTATGGGTTGATAAAGGAAGCCTCGATCCGTTTCTCAGTTTCGACGCGTAAAATCAGCCGGATTTGGGCACATGACTGCTGCTCCCTGGCTTCTGGAGCCTTTGCTGCTGATGTTTCATCGAAAATTGCGGGAAATTCTGGCCGGAAACCAAAACCCTTCGACTTGGACACGGTAAAAAGGGTTCCGCTTTGAAACCGCAAGAATATCCGATCACTCGCGGCTGCCTTGCAAATTCCGAAGTCTATGGTCGGCGTGCAGATCAAAAAGGGCCTGATCAAGCAACACACGAGCCCTTTAAAACCGTTTTTGACCGAGGCAAACAAAAAGGCACAGCTCCAGTACGTGCTTTTGATGTTGGATCAAGATTTCCTTACAACTAGTCCAGTGTTTCAAGACAGGCTAAATCGTGTCCACATCGACGAAAAATGGTTTTTCGTGACGGAGGAGAGCGGCCGCTACTACCTTGTTTTCGATGAAGACGAGCCTTATCGCTCATGCAAGAGCAAAAGGTTTATTGAAAAGGTCATGTTTCTTGCCGTAGTAGCTCGACCCAGATTCGATCCCGGCAAGAATCAGTACTGGTCGGGCAAAATAGGCGTCTTTCCTCTCGTGTTTCAAGAGCCAGCAAGGAGATCAAGCAAGAATCGGCCAGCGGGAACCATGGAAACTAAGCCGATTCCATCGATAACGAAGAGCATCGTCAAAGATGTTCTTATCAATCAGGTGTTTCCGGCGATTCGGAACGCGTGGCCACGAAGACACGGCGGCCAAGAGGAGATATTGGTCCAACAAGACAATGTGAAGCCGCATCCAGACCCTCAGGACCCAGATATAATTGCAGCAGGGAAGAAGGATGGGTTCAGTATTCACCTGGTGTGCCAGCCACCAAATAGTCCAGTTATGAATGTTCTGGATCTCGGATACTTTCGGGCGATTCAATCCTTGCAGCATCAAAAGGCTCCGGCATCTGTGGACGAGCTAATCTCTGCCGTGGTGGACTCCTTCAACGAGATGGGACGCGAAAAACTGGAGAATGTATTCCTATCGCTTCAAAATTGCCTTCTAGGGGTAATGAAGGCTCAAGGTTGGAACGATTACAAGCTTCCTCACATCGGAAAGGACAAACTGACGCGTTTGGGCCTCCTACCGCTTAATTTGCCGTGCCCTATGGATGTAAAATCTGTTCAAGAGTCCCTTTAAATAAACCCTTAACTCCCTTACAAGATCTTTATTGAGAAACAAATTCATTCGCTTCGCTTCACCGCATGCCAATGCAGGGTGAATACTATTGCCACAATGGAGGGACAAAGGTTACTTATTACATAGGGAAGTGTGTCCCTGTTGAGCCACCAAGTGAGTTCAGTTCTTTTATTGGGCCCATCAACAACTAACTACAAAATCTATAGTCGCCAAGAGTCATCAGTCGAAGTGTCTGCCAATCCATCAGGCGCGTTCTTCTTTAGTTAAGAGTCGAAAACCAGAAATAGGACAATCATTTCTGGACAAATAAAAATGGGAAACAGGACAATCATTTCTGGACAGAGGGAGTATTATATAAGATATAATCAATATTTCTCCATTAGGAACCCTGTCAATCTCGTTCAAAATCCCACCCGACATAACCCGATCATTCAGTTACGCAACCATGATACAGCGGTTGCGGCACAAAGAGGTTTGGAAGTAAAAAAAAAAAAAATTAATGTAACGCAAATCGGGAAAATAATATTTCTTTGAAAATTATCAATGTTTCTCCATTAGGAACCCTATCAATCTTGTTCAAAATCCCACCCGACATAACCCGATCATTCTGTTACGCAACCATGATGCAGCGGTTGTAGCACAAATAGGCTAAGATGGATAAAAATACATATATATTTAATGCAAACCGGGAAATTAATTTTATTTAAGATATAATCAATATTTCTCCATTAGGAACCTAATCAATCTCGTTCAAAACCCCACCCGACATAACGCGATCATTCTGTTACACAACCATGATTCAGCGGTTGCGGCAGAAAGAGGTTTGGATGTAGAAAAAAAAATGCATACAACGCAAATCGGGAAAAAAATATTTCTTTGAAAATTATCAAGGTTTCTCACTCGGGATCACTACCAATCTCGTTCAAAATCCCACCCGACATAACCCGATCATTCTGTTACGCAACCATGATGCAGCGGTTGCGTAAGAGAATGGCTAGGGTCCGGCGCGACTTCTACTGGCGCCAGTTACTCATTGATTTTTCCCTCTTCCTCTTGTCTCACGGATTTCATCGAAAGCTCCGTTCTGTCTGTGTTCGGGACAGCTTTTGCGGTTGTTCTGGAGCCAGTCGTTTCACTTCTTGACACAAAGGCGTGATGGAAGTACATGGTTGTGCAAAAGTTCCCGTACACTTTCTTTTCTTTCTCTTACACTTTTTTATTCATAAAGTTGAATTTTGATAAAAACCGTAACCTCAGCTTGTTAGTTGAATAATTATGTACAACAGGAACATCGTGAAAATACAAATCAATCAAATTCTAAGCATATGCTCAAAATTGGTGTCGTCCTCCTTGATACACTCTCGGAGTCGCTTTGGAGCGTTGCGAATGATGGTTGCCAGCTGTTCGACGTTGATTTCATTCCAAGCGCATTGCAAAGCCGTCTTCAGTGCCTCGGTGTTGCGAAAACG